TTAAAGTCAAAATGAACATCCATTTAAAAGCTCATACACAAGACGAATAAAAATGAACCAACCAAAAAGGCCGGCGATGTTCGGAGTTACAGACAAAGGCACAACGGCCAAAAGAAATATGTATGGGCACGCAGGCCCCAAAATTAAGCATGGGCACGCAGGCCCCAAAACAAATACTAAATAAGCGGGCACACAAGCCCGACCAGAAACTCCACGACTAAACTTCCTCGGGACTACCAACATCCACTGCAGGAGACTCAGGAGGAGGCACAACCTGTCCGTCAATAATCTGGGACATGAAACCCACTCCCGCGATATTCATGCCCGAATTCAATATGGCGAGTTGGCTGACCGCAGCCTCAAACCCGTCCGTCAAAGCACCGACACAGTCTGTTTCGAGGAGATGGATGTGCGCGACCAGATCCGAACGGCTCCGCAAAGGGGTTGTATCCTCCGACTCATCTTCGATAGGAAGCATGGCAGCTTTCAGCTCCTCGACTTCCTTAGACATACGTTCGTTGTCGGCCTCCAATCGTTCCATATCCAGTCGAAGACAATCCCTCTCCTCAGCAACCTTCCTCGAGTTCTCCTTCTCCGTCGCCAGCAGGTCAGCTTGTTCGTGGAACATTTCCTCAGATCGCTCGAGAGCAGCCTTTAACTTACGAGAGCCGGCAGCGAGGGCAACTTTCTCCGACTCCAGCTCCCTAACGCGATCCGAGGAGTCTGACCCCTCCTCAGCAAGGACAACGACCATCTAGGCCATCTTCACCATCCCGACCATACTGGCGGCCAGGTGTTTTCTCCGGCTTTCTTTGTTGAGCCGCCTGATGGTCTCGGCTTCCTCGTTGCTCACTGTCAGGGGAAACCCCTCAAAGAAATCTCCCTCTTTAAAACAAGGGGGTAAGCCGAAGGCCCTCGCGGCGACAGACTCGTCGCCAACTTCTGACTGGTTATCTGCCTGACTCCTCTTTCTCGTAATCAGCTCAGCAGGCTGCTCGGCATCAGGGGAGCCCCGGGACCCGCTAGAAGCATCGCCCGAACTGGTCGGCGGGCCCATCCTCGTGGCCTGCGGAGCTCGCACCAGCCTTCTATTTATTTTCTTGTCCTGAGTCAGTTTTAAAAGCCTCTCTCTTCGTTCAGCCATGTCGCCTGCAAAGAAGAGGAAAACTCGGGTTAGCTGCGAGCCAGTAAAAAACAACAAAAATGGAATAAAACTACAAGACAAAAGCAACCTAATAGATTTATGGCCTGCCCGTAAGATTGGCACTCGACGAGCGCCTTTGTGTCGATGGGACGAGCCTCGAACGTCGGGTACCCATCCTCATCAAGAATGTCTTCCCCATCCCTCGTGACCCACCGGGAAGGGAAAAAACTGTCGACATATTTGCAATACCCGGTACCATGGTCGTAATGGCCCGAGCACCAATGTAATGGGAACTTGGATACGCGCCCCACTGTCGGTCGACCTTCGGCATCCATGAGGGGCTCCCCGTGCTCGTCGACTACCGCGGTCTCCTCTTCATACATAGAATCCAAAGCAGTCTGGGTGACCAGATGCAGAACGTACCACTTGTCCTTGAAGCCCCAGACTGAATCCATGTACATCCTGAACAACCTCTTTGACTGTTTCAGGGAAACCCAACTATGACTGCCTCCTCGAGACTGACATTGCAGGTGAAAAACTCTGAAGAAAAGGGGAATGGTCGCCCCGATCCTCAAGAAGCGGCATGTCAGCTCGAATGCCCGAAGGAAGGCAATCGAATTAGGATGGTGTTGGGAAGGGGCCAAGTTCAGATGGCAGAACACCCCGACTTGGAAATCACTGAAAGGAAGCGTGAGACCGAGATCCCTAAACACGATCTCATACATTGGAAACCCATACTCGGTGAACTCTGAGCAGATTCGTGCATCGAGGGACGACCTCGTCACGATAAAATTCTTCTAGAAACCCGGCTGACTACCGCCGCGTTCGACGACAGTGTATGCGCGCCGACTACGCCGACAATACGCCGAGGCAATCCCTCGGGGCTCGGCACCCACCCAATCCAACGAAGGATCATCGACGGTATTAACTAGAGTCACGTTCTCTTCGGCACTTTGGTCCTCGACCTTATTACGCCTCGAAGACTCCGGTTCGTCAGCCATTTACCTGCAAAGCACAGGAAATCGGTGAAATTCGAGAGCAAATCCACATGCTCGCCACAGTGATGGGAAGTAGTGCGCGACAAGCCAGACACGCTCGACCAGACGTCGGGAACAACAAGAGGATAGCATGCACGCGATAAACATTGAGGACTCGAACAAGATCCTGGTTTCGCCTCCCCGATGCTAAGATGCCACGACGAGTTATCCCACATACTTCCTAAGGGGTCAACGTCCCGACCAGCTCATGGGTGCGCCGACCTAAACTATGAATGTGACGAGCAATATCATGAATCCTAAGCCTATAACTATGGGTTTACCGGGCAGTATCATAGATTATGCGCCTAAAACCATGAAGGTCCCGGGCAGCATTGCGAGTCACATACCTAAAACTATGAGTTTACCGGGCACAAACATGAATATACCGGGCACTAATCCCATATATGGGTTTCTAACATCCAAATAACGGTAAAGCTACCTACAACGAAGAAAAATAGGAGGAATAAACGCTTACTTGGAAGCAAAGAAGAATGTACGGCAGCGGTGAAAGAAGTCAACGGAGGAAGATGCGGTAATCTTGCGAAGTTGTAGAAGAACAGCGGCGGCAAAAGCAGAGGAAGAAGGAGAAGCGCGAAGAGGAAAAACAAATTATGGGACCCAAGGATCCTATTTATAGGGATGACGTGGAATACGAAACGTCGCCCCGGGGAGCCACGGACTTCCCCTCCTCGATGTCTACTCCCCTAGGCAATGATGGCCCTACTGTCGCTAGGGTGGCGTCACGGTTCCCAAGGATTGCCTCGTGTACCCAACAAACGCAACCCGCGAGGAATCCCCCGAGCACGCATCGACGAGGATTACGCTACGAACGCAACTCGTGAGAAACTCCTCGAGCGAGCACGAGGAAGCAATATCCTGGGTCGGGCATCAGACCCCGGGGCAAAGGCGAGCTGAAGTCAAGTCATAACTCTTGCTCCAGGAGCAACAACTTGGGGGGCTCCTGTTCTGGACTGGGCCCGCCCTGGCCCAAAAGCAGGGATAAAGGCCCAATCCAAGCAGCTCCTCGAGGAATGCGCGCCCGCAGATTCTCGCCAGCGTGCCCGACCAGAGACTGCAGCCATGCCCGTCGTTGCCCGCGACACATAGTGTCCTCGACCAAGGGAACTCCAGCTCGAGTCCTGCTCGAGCACTCTCCCTGTAGGGCAGATTCTGCCCTCTCTGACCGTTATCGAATTATCTAAACTCCGGAAAGACAGCGTCTTCGTCCCTCCTCATTCTTCGCAGAGCATCACCAGGAAGGGGACCACGTGCGGGTCCCCACTACACACGTAGAACCTGGCAGTTCCTTTATTGGGCCAGTTCTGGTCTGCCCAAGGAGGGGACCTTGACCCAGCGCTGGGGGCTATAAATACCCTCTGTTCCTAGAGGGTCAGATATTCATCTCTTACGCATACATACACTTTTTGCCTGCTCATTCCGTCACTCATTTTAGCATCGGAGTGCCTTGCAGGTACCCCCCATCTCACTCAAATTTTGCCCGAGCCAGTCGTGACAGTCCAAGTCTGATCCGGTAAGATCATAATCCGTGTGAATTCATAGTTTATTATATTTTTTGTATAATTAAAGAAAATAAAAGTAAATATATTTTAAATCATATATGAATCCACACACGAAAAAATTATATTTGTTTATATTACTAATATTTATTTATACAATTAAAATAATATTTTTAAATATTATGTTAGTAGTTGATATTTATAAAACTAAATGATTGTATAAATATTTATATAAGTAATGTCAAAACAAATTTAATATTTATATACGAAAAAATATGTCGTTGATTTAAATCTTTGTATATAGAAAAAATTATATTTAAGCTCCAAATATAAATAAAAAAATATTTTTCTTATAAAAATAATAAAAAAATTTGGTTAAATAATTTTGTCTTTCTTTTTTTCATTCTTATTACATTTAAGAAACATATGCGCGTAAAACACCCGTACTCGTTCTGATCAAAATTTGTGTGAATCCACAAATTATTATATTTTTTTACAATTAAAAAAAGTAAAATAAATATATTTAAATAACATATGAAGCTGAATACAAGAAAAATGAATTATTTTTTAATTATTTATGTTACTAATATTTTTATTTTAAAATTATTTTTAATTTAAAATAAAATATTTTAAAGATAATATATGAAAAATTAAAATATATATTATTGATATAAAATAATTTTATTTTTATTTTAAAAATATATCTTCCCTTTAAAAATAATAAACTCTTTTGATAAAATAATTTTGTTTTTTATTTACATTTTTATTATATTTTAAAAATAAAAGTGTACGTATATATCATCGAAGTATTCTATTAATTTCATTTTCAATGACACATCTATAGTGAGGTTTTTGATACTTGAGAGAAAGTGTCAGGGTTGCTTAACAAATATTATGCTGATTGAACTAGAACTAAAAGTATGTTTGAATAGATGAAATATAATGGAATAAATCGGAATAAAATAAAATAAAATTATGTTCTATAGTTTAAATTAATTAAAAGTGATGAAATAAATAGTATCGAATAGAATGAAATTCATCTGATTCCATTATTTTTTTTGAGTAGAATGATAAAATTACTCTATTTTATTAAGACGTATCCAAAGAATAAAATGTCATTTTTATTTTATTAGACTCCTACCATCCCACTCGGCTCTGTTCTTTTTTACCTACTGAAGCCTTGTATTAATTATACTTTTTATATTAATAGTTAAAAACAGTTCAGTAAACAAATTAAAGTTGTTTTAGCTGAAGCGTTGGGCTAGTAGAGTTATTGAATGAAGAAACAGAGAAGAAGAGAAAATGGCAGTTTCACCTTTCCTCCTACTTCGACTCCGCTCACACTTGACTAAACCATTTCACCTCTTCAATTTCTCATTCTCCACCACCACACCGCCCAAGCCACCTCCAATTCAAGTTTCTCTCACCGACTCAATAGGTCGCGCCGTCTTCGCAACTCGCCCAATCCCTACCGGTGATCTCATCCACACCGCCGAACCCGCCGTCTCCCATCCCTCACCCTCCGCCCTTTATCCCGTCTGCTACTCTTGCCTCACCAGACTCCCCGCCTCCCTTCCTCAACGCTTCCCCTTTTGCTCTCACCATTGCCACCAACGCAGTAAGGTGCGTTTTTTCTTCTTCTTCTCTATTTACCCTTAACAATTGAATATATACTAGTTATATGCATACATTGTCAATGCATTACCATTAAATTTAATAACAATATTTCACATTATCAATTTTCCAAAATCATCCCTAAAATTCCACAATTTACTCCTTTCTTACTTCTAGATGATGATACTTCTTGACAATTGCTAACAGAAGGTCTTTTAGGAAAATTGTTGGAATCATGTTAAAAGGCCTTTTGTTACCAATTCTCAAAATGCTTCGTCATCTAGAACTAAGAAACCAGTAAAGTAGGTTATTGAAGATGATATAAGTATGATTGAAATTTCTAAAACTTTTTAAAAAATTATTCATGTGTTTGAAATGAATACAACGGAGTTGGTCAAACAGAGTATAAATGCTAATGGTGGAGATATTTGGGCCGAATTGGTCGAGATTGGTGTTGACCATGTTTTTTGCCTCTTGTATACATGTAACTTGTTAAGAATGTTGATGCATTAAAAGCTTTTAATGAAATTTCAATTGATAAGTGCAAGGGAATGTTACATCACATTGTTCCATACTATCTTTTTTTGCTAACGTTAACATATTTTTTTATCACTTTTATGCATTTTTGTATGTTTAAGTTTAACGAATGAAATTTCGAGTAATTTATTTTATGTAATTTTTAGGGTTTTGTGGAAGCCTTAAAGAAGATGATCATTATCTATATTGAACCTATATTTGTCTTTTTTTGTTGTTAAAACAAAACGTGATATCGTTATATACAATGGACTTATATTTGTCTTTTATTTTTAGCAAGACTTGATTTTGTTTATGAATTGTTATGGTTACCAATTATGATGTTGATCAAAACTTGTGAATTGAATCTTTGCAGTTTCATGTTATAATAACCATGTATTGAGTTCTTGTTAAAGGCTATGTTAGAGAAAATAAATATATAATTAATGTTTTTGAAGTAAAGGATAAAAATGGAATAAATAAATTATAATGCATTCCGTCCAATTTCCATACAGTGGAATGAGTTATTAGTTCTGCTCCATAGTAAAATATCCAAACAACAAGAATGAGTTTAAGTTCCGTTACGCTCCACTATTAGTTTTAAACTATCCAAACAGAGCCTAACTGTCCCCACTATTTATGATATCAATGTGCAATGACCATTTTATATCTGACTTGTGGAGCTGTGGCTTACAACTATTTTCTACTTGTTGTTCTGTCATGGGTTTTCAACTTGAATGTTTTACATCTATGCATGGAAAATGTAAACAAACATGTATTCTTTCTTCTCTGCTGATATGTACTTATTTTGGATATTTTGATATAGGAATATTACGATGTTGAGATGAAAGCGGATTGGACAGATTTTGATAACTATTGCCGGTATGAGAGTTGTTTATCCATTGCGAAGTGTTTCCACAATCTTTAAACCTCGGTGTTAATGGGACTAGTTTTGCTCTTTGGTTTTATAAGTAGCCTAATATCTTCTATGCATCATGACTTTTGAACCAGAAAAAAACTTTACTACAGTGTCCCTTAAGTTCACATTTCTGTTTACCAGTGTTAGTCTGATGCACTGTTCAATGGAGAGAAAAGATTAACTCATGGAAGAAGCTATATTTTTCATCCCTTAGTAACCTTTTTTATGTTTTTTGTCAACTAATTTTGGTGGTTTTAAACTTGATGTAGCATACCAATTCATGTAATATTGTCATTTTTTACAACTTCACATCTAAAACTTGTATTAATCTGAGCGCTAATGATAAATGATTGAAACATTGAGTAATCATTAACAGTCAACACTTAGTTTATCATATAGAGTTTTATTGCACTGAAATTAAAACAGCGATAAATACCTGACCTCTTTTCAAAGGAACCAAGGTTTAAAATATCCCTTTTTGGTAAAGCGGTTGGTTTGCATGGTCATATCGGGAGTTTCTAGAAGTGACAGTCTTGACATACTTCAACCTGCCAATTTGACACCTGAGATGATTTTAGAGGTGAGAGTTTACAAGTTTATGATTAACGATAATAATTAATTAGCAGGTTTCTTCTATAAAAATAATGAAAATTAAGTGATTTTCAAGGTGATAAAGTTTTGGCATCAGTATTTTGTTACTGCAATCTGTTTATGCATAGTGTCATTTTTCAGATGGAAAAAGGGTTCACCCTGCTAAGAAATGCCTTCACAAAGACACTTATTGCAGATGAACAGATTGCTTGTATCCTTCTTTTAGGAATATTTTGTATGAAGTAGATACACATCACATCACACACATGGTCACATGCTTAAAGAGAACATAGATATAAGTTGATATATTACTTGACATTTTTAAGTTTTAACCAAGCAATGGTACATTGGTGTTTTGGCACGAATCCGAATCAATGCATTTCGCGTTGAGTTGGCTGGTGGTGGATCATATGCAGATCTTCTTTCTTCTGCATTTGCATCTGTAGAAGCTGAAGCTGCTGTTGGAAATGCTGTCTATATACTTCCTTCCTTCTATAATCATGATTGTGGTCAGTACAATTTTCTTTTACTTTTCCCTTTCTACGTCATAAAGCAGGGAATACTCGAAACTGGAAAAGCTCAATTTTAACGAATATTTGGATTCCGTGTTTAAGAGATGTGGTAACCGAAAAGTTACACACACAAACACACAAATGACTTCTCTACTCATCTTTTTTAAACATGAGAAATTAAAAATCTCACTTATGGTATTGCAGATCCTAATGCACACATTATATGGATCGATAATGCAAAGGCAAAACTAAAGGCCCTCCGGGACATTGATGAAGGTTTGCTCTAAATTCTATTTTATTTGATTAAATGGTTTCCCCTTTATTTTTGTGGGTTTGCTCATCCAAGATGTAGTGCATTATATGATTTCTGAAGAGGTTCTACTCATTTTGATGCATTTGCAAATGACAGTTTCTAACTTAATGGAAGGAATTTATTGCCTATATCCTGTTTTATTACCAACCCATCTTTTATAACATCAATCATTGATGCAAACACTTTAGAGAGTGCCTTATAAAACCTTTTTCTAAATAATTTTATTGTTTTTAACGGAGCCTATAGAGTTGTTTTGTCCATGTAGCAAACTCTCTCTCAAGATAGTGCAGGCACCCTTGGGTGCTTTGTTGGCCATCTTCGGGTTCGGAATGCTCTCTATGACAATCTAATGGGTGCGATTTTGGCTATTGAAATCGCCCTTGAGAAGGTTGACATAATCTTTGGTTGAGTACGACTCGTCTCTTGTGGCTCTTGTGGTCTCTGCGTTTGAAAACCATTAGCTTATCCTTTTGAGATTGCGTAATAGGTGGGCCAACTGCGTAATACTATCTATCAAATGTGTTTCTTTTGCTCTCACATTTATCGAGAAGGAAATGTTTATGACAATAAACCTGCTTCTTTTGGTACCTTCATTTTGGGATTTAATTGATCAGCTACAATTCTCCTTGGTATATTGCAGGTGAAGAACTGAGAATCTGCTATATTGATGCCAGTATGGACCGCGATGCTCGGCGAGAACTATTGTTTCAAGGTTTTGGTTTTCAGTGTAATTGTAGTAGATGCTTGCATGGTGATTAGTTTGTTTTCTCTAAAAGATTCTCCTAGGTTTCGAAATACCAGGTGGTTGGAAACAGGCTATCATGTAAACCTGCTCAAATTTTGGATATTTAGAATTTTAGATGGTAGATACCATGACCAACTTTCTGCCATACACAATACTTTAATGATTAGTCACTTGATTTAATCCTTAAACTATCTCTTTTACCTGTATACCAATAAACCTGTATACCAATAAAGCAATAATTTAAACCAGAAAACCACTTAAATCAGAAATTTAATCCTGGTGTTGGTATGAATCTCATTGACAATGTCTCATTTGTGTTGTTGTATGCTTCCATTAGATCTACAAGCGATGGACATTGCAATTTTTTTACAGCAACTACTAGTCTAAGTTTATTTTTTGCTCCTAAATAATCTTACCTCGGAAACATTAGTGGAGTTACCTAGTGTAGGTTTTGGGGTTATTGCAACAACTTGCTTTGTCACTGGTGGAGCAACTTGCTCTTTCAATGTTGCAGCAACTTGCATTGTTGCAACAAACTTCTTATGTCATTGTGGCAGTGTGATTCACGTGTCATTGGAATGTCATTTTCCTACACAATAAAATCAAGCAATAATTTTTGTTGTTGAATATGACTCGATAAGAATGAACTATATTTGAGTAAATTCACATACTTGTGATGTAGGTGTAAACTGAGACGAGTTTATCTCAACTGGTTCATTTTGAATCTCATGTCTAAAAATAGAGGAGACATACGTAAATTATGGTCTAATGACCCGCATCTACGGTAATGCATTGGAATCATGTTTTTTGGAGTCATGTTTTTTTTTTAGTTTACAGTGTCTTTCTCCTTCATCTTTACATTCCCTTCTTTAGATTTTGGCCTACCAGCTTTTCTCTTAATTAAAGGAGGAATATGAGCTTCAAGTCCACACGTAACCCAAAAATGTCGGGATTGGCAAGATCAAATAAAATCTTCATAAGTGGCTTTTAACGTTGACATCTCAAGCAAGTCATGGACAAAATTCTCAGGTTGTAAGCTCTAATGAGCCATTGTAGCAATTGCATGATCCTAACATTTTAGAAAGGCATACTACTAGCCAGGCAATAAGAGTAGGGCTTATTTCAATATACATGTGTTTGCACTCTACAGAGTCATTCTGATGGTGAGTATGAGGGCAATCAAGTCTATGAGCAGTGCCTTTTGTGTGGAACAGGGAGGTGAGAGTTCGAAACTCTAAACCACCATTTATTTGCACACTCTATACTTCAACAACAATGATGAAGTGTGTGAAGTGGTACCACATCAAACTTCTATTTTAGAGGGTAAACCCACATATACTTTAGGTAAACCACTATTTATTTGCACACTCTATACTTCAACTAAACCCACATATACTTTAGGTAAACCACTATTTATTTGCACACTCTATACTTCAACAACAATGATGAAGTGTGTGAAGTGGGTACACATCAAACTTTTATTTTAGAGGGTAAACCCACATACATATACTTTAGGTAAGCATCAACACAAATAAGAATACTCTTTTCGGTCTTTATTATAAGAGAAAATTCATTTTTTAGATTTATATAATAATTAATGTATTTGATCATTATATAGACTAGATACATTAATCATTGAATGAATTTAAAAAGTAAAATTTTTATTTTTTATAATAAACACTAGAGGAAGTATATTTGTAACGTGAAGTAGAGATCGTTGAAGCTTGTTCGCATGCATTAGCATGTGATAACAGACATCAAAATCATGACCTGACTTAGAGTAGATTCAACCTTGAATTTTGCAAAACGACCTTCTCTTTCACGATTAAATGAACAACCACCATCATAGACACAATTACCACCTGTGAACTAAGATACATTCCATTGTTGAAATGGTGAAGTAGGTGTTGAGGCAAATTGAGTTATGTTTTCAGGTTTAGGGACATTTCTTTGAGAAATGTGAAATAAAAGAGATTTAACTAACGTAGTTTTCTTTACCTTATCGAACTTAGATTCATGAGAAAACATCATAGATTCGACTTCAATAATAGGATATAAATAAGCACAATATTGAATTATAGATGCTAGTGTATTGTACTCATCAGATAAACCATTTAAAACATCTTATATCTAGAATATCTATAATTCTTTGAATTCTAGATAGGTATTCAAAAATTCACTTATCACCTTTTGAAATTCATTTTTAGAATATTTGTGGATTTCGTCCCTCACATGATGCGAGTGAACACAACAAGCCACTTGAGGAAACATGTCATTGTAAAGTGTCGTAAAATTTCAAGTAAACATGAGTAAATCTTGTTGCTCTTAAGTGAGACACACAAGGTTTTCAACATCTTTGTTTCTCACGGAGGCGAGACATGAATTGTTGGATTAACTAGGTAACATGTGAGTCTGTATGATTTCTTCAATCTGATGTTTTCACAAAAGAAAAATTGTCTTCATCGAGTTTGAGAGTAATTTGTCGAGTGAAGGTCTTAAAGATGTTTTCTTAACTTGTGCTAAGCGCATTTTGCATTGAATTTGCTTTTGACATGGATGAAGAATCTTTCAAAGATTGAAGGATCGTTCAAGCTCTTGATACCATAATGGAGAGAGAGAGAGAGAGAGAGTCGTATTCTGATTTATTATTTTTAAATTGATTATTTAAGAGTTGGTTACACAACTCAGCAGAGTGAGTTTATATATGGCAACTAGCTGTAATTAACTTGTCTTGACTCTAACATATTTTGTTTTTTTTAAAGCTAAAAGTATATATTAAAAGAAAAGAAAGGTGAAAGAAGAGGGATGGGATAAGTCAAAATCTACTAGAACATCATCAAAGACAAAAAAGGAAGACCTAATATATTCTTGATAGCATCTGCTATTAGAGACACATGAACTTCATTTTTTTTACGGGAAAGATATTTCTATTAAGAAGAAATAATATTTGAAACACATATCACATGCTCTATATAAGGGTAACCTCCAATTCAAGTTTTTGAACCATACAATTTCCCCAATTCTACTAAGTTATGAATCAATATTAAAAATTCTGCTAAAAACATAATTGAACCAAGCTGGAAATGTAACACCCCGATTAATTATTAAATTATTTTTAATAGATTAATTTTTTGATGTTGTGTATTTTTTGCGCTGATGAACGCTTTGTGGTGATTTATTTGGTGCAATGGATGGTTTGGTGTATTTTGTGTGGGGTAATGTCGAATTAAAGTAGTGATGAGACTTATTCTGAATTTAGATAATTTAATTAAAATTATTTAGATTTTAGAATAATTATGTAGGATTTATTTAATAATTAAATTAGATAATATGAGTATAGATATTGAGGGCATTAAGGTAATGTTGAGTGGGGTAAGCATAAGAATAGGAATACCATATTAGGGATCTAAGGGGTAAGAAGGACTTCAGAGAAAAGTTAGAGAGTGAATCGTATTGTTGGAACGATCGTACTCTAAGAAAGACAGAAGGAGAGAAGTGAGAAGAGTTAGGGAAAAGGAAGTCATTGTTGAAGCTTAAAAATCATCAATCCAAGATAAGGGTGGAATTTAGACTATCCAAAGGGATTGTGTAATGACAACTATGTGGGGGTTAATTTGTATGTCACTATTGATAAGGATTTTAAGTTTGGGATTTTGTGAATGAATTGATAATATGGAGATTGTGTTGAAAACTGTGTTTTATGATGTGCAAAATGCTATGATTTGATACCCCATAATCTGTGTGATAATGTGTGGTTGTTATTGGGTGTTACATGTTAGATTTTGATGAAAATAGGATTGTACTGTAATGGAATCGTATGCAATTTTGGGATAGACTGGTGAAGAATCGCAGTTGAGAAGTTGTTGTTTCGCACGCCTCGTCGGGTGAGCCATGTGCAGCGCTAGGTGAAGTTGTATCGCCTAGGAAGCACCGGGTGAGCTCGAGGCAAGAGAACCTGTGAATTTGGAGTGCTACTGGAAAATGTATGGGGGAGCATGTTCGCCTCAGCTTCGCCGGACGGAGAGGGTGGCGAGCACGAGTCGTCGGTCGAACAAGAAGAGAAGGAATGTGTGGAAAAACAATGCTATTGGAAAATGTATAGGAGGCGTTAGTTCGCCTCTACTTTGTCGAGCGAGACCCAGGCGACAGATCCCAGTCATCGGGCGAGCCTTAAGCGAGTAGGGTTGTTTGTATTTTTGTAAAGACCGTAACTTAAGTTTCTGGACTCTGTTGGATGCACTGTTTAAAGCATTGGAAAGCTAATGCGATGAGCTATAATTTTGTGGGAAAAAATGAGTCAAGTGATGTTTAGTTTCAGTACTTATAACATGATAAGTTGTATGTGGTGTGATGAATTCATTGTGATATAGGTGCTATGATGAATTGGTGTTGTTATAATGATACTATATGATTGTGTTGGGCATTGTGAATTATATGTTACAGAGTGAATGTTGGTGGTCGTTTTGGTGTGTCATGTTGATAGATGTAGATGTCAATGTGTGTTATTTTGTTGCATGGTTGTGTCACATGCATTTCCTATTGGGGACTTCAGTCCTGCTTGTTGGCACTGATCCTAGATGGGGTGGATTGGGGGGGGGGGGGGAGGTGGTGTGAATCTCATCGTTCATGATGTGGGTTGGCTCTGATTCTAGATGGTGTGGAATGAGAGCAAGGTGAACCAAAAATGTTCACGATATTGGTGGCTCTGGTCCTAGATGGTGTGGATTCAGGAGCAATATTGGTACTCCATGCATTGGATCTGTGAGTCGGTCTCATTGTTTTGCATTATCATTAATATGACGTTTGAGTTGTGTGCTTGGTGTATGAATTAAATGGTAATTGATGTTATATGATGATGGTTATGTATGGATTGTTTAAATAACATGCAATATAATTGTTGTGCTATGTGAAGGTATGAGAAGTGGAATGTGTGGATATGCATGATTTACTTGATATATATATATATATATATATATATATATATATATATATATATATATATATATATATATAT